TCACCGTAAAGGTAAGGCACGTTGCTGGGCCCCTTCACCCTTACTGCGCCAACAGCACCTCGTGAAAACGGACAGGATGAACATCTGCTCCTTGATCTACCTTTATTTCATGTTTTTTTCTCACCATGTACCGCAGTTCAGAAGAGACATTTCTTGCTGTGACAAAGACAACTGGACAACTGGACAAATACCCTTAGTATTCTTCCAGTGAGTTTTGCAACATGTTGTAGGAGAATTTTACGCATTGCAAGCCATCACAGAAGAAATTGCTCAAGAATTGCCCCCAGTTGTGTGCCGAAATTAACCTAAATGAAGTTTCCTGAGGGAAATGAGCGATCTGGATGACATATCTGGTGGTGGAGTTCACAGGGAGGAGGCCTCCGTACATCACGGCAGGGCAGGCTGGTGCCTGGCGTGCAGATAGGGGAGCTTCTGATGCCCTAATGGGAAGCAGATGTTTCTATGTGTGCTCAATAAACACACCCGATAGGGTGACCTCCACTGGTTGGCTAGATGACACGGACAGATAGCACAACGCGCCTTAATCATCACGCTGTCACAACAGTGTGGGAGAACGTTATTATTAAAATGATTAGTAGCTAACACCAATTTGCTTTTGTTTGCAGTAAGCTAATTCGTGGAAATACATATGGATGCCAAAACTTCTATTCATGACATTCTGTTGAAAGAAATCCTTTGCATAATGATAAATCCCTCCCTCTGATTACGTTAGGAATGCACATCAATACCACCTTCCTGGAAAGCAATTTAGCAATATATACTGTTTGATCCTACTTCTTCTTCTAGGAATTTATGCCGAGGAAATGATAAATGAGGCTAACGCTTTCTGTATGAAGGAACTCATCACAGTCATTATTATTAATAGGAAAAAATCGGAAGAGTCCTGAATGTCCAACACAGGGAAACAGTGAAACAACATATAGAAATTCTCTAGGAAATACTGGATGGATCTTTTTCCAGCCATTATTCTCATTAAAATCTGCTCGCACTTGCACCTATGTGATTGGCCCTCAACATAGTTCAGGAAATATTTTCTGAGGCAACCCCTACTATGTGCCAATAGGGTGTTAGGCAGGGAGACATGAAGATAAAACACACACAGTTCTTACGGTCTACATCAGGGTTGGCAAATGACAGTTCACAGGCCAAATCTGGCCCATGACCCATTTTTGTTTTTTTTTTTTTAAATTTTTTTTTTTTTCAACGTTTATTTATTTTGGGGACAGAGAGAGACAGAGCATGAACAGGGGAGGGGCAGAGAGAGAGAGAGAGAGAGGGAGACACAGAATCGGAAACAGGCTCCAGGCTCTGAGCCATCAGCCCAGAGCCCGACGCGGGGCTCGAACTCACGGACCGCGAGATCGTGACCTGGCTGAAGTCGGACGCTTAACCGACTGCGCCACCCAGGCGCCCCAATGACCCATTTTTGTAAACAAAGATTTACTGGAACACAAACACGCCCATTTGCTTGCCTACGGTCTAGGCTGCTTTTGTGCTGTGACAGTGGGGTTGAGTAGTTGCGACAGAGATAGTATGGTCCACA